GACTTTTTTTTACATTCAGCTAGAAGCAATTTATAAGAGTAAAGGAAGGTTCAAAGTAAAAAGGAGAGAAATGATATACAAATACTACCCAAAGAATGCTGGAGAATGATATCAATATTAGTTAAAATAGACTTTATGGCAAAGACCATTATTAGAGTCAAAGAGGTTTACCTCATAATTGTAAAATATTTCACTCAACAGGAAGATACAAGAATTCTAAAAAATATATGCATATGCACCTAATAACACAATTTAAAAACATAGAAAGCAAATTCTGACACAACTACAAGATGAACCCACCATCCTAGGAAACTTCAGTACAGAGAATTAAGCAGAAAAATAATCAAACAAGATACAAATGATTTGAGCAACACATTAATTAAGCTTGATCTATTGAGAGTGTGTGTGTGTGAGTGAGAGAGAGAGAGAGATGGAAATGAGCATAATTGGAGGAGAATATGTATCCTTTTAAAACCCACGTGGGACATTCATAAAAAGATCCTCTACTTGGCTACAAAGCAAGTCTTCACAAATACCTAAATTGGCAGTGCATAGACTATGCTCCTTGACTACTATATAGTTAGGTTAGAAACCCATTTTTTTTAAGAGTTTATTAATTTATTTGACAGAGAGAGACACAGCGAGAGAAGGAACACAAGCAGGGGAAGTGGGAGAGGGAGAAGCAGGCTTCCCGCCGAGCAGGGAGCCCGATGCAGGGCTCGATCCCAGGACCCTGGGATCACGACCTGAGCCGAAGGCAGACGCTTAACGACTGAGCCACCCAGGTGCCCTAGAAACCCATTTTTAAAAAGGTAACTAAAAAGCTCCAAAACTCCAGGCTTTCTGAAATTGAAAAACAGCCTTCTAAGGAACTCTTAAGTCAAATAAGTAATTATAATGGGTACTCAAAAATTATTAGAACTATAAAATAATAAAAGTACTACATGTCAAAACTGAGGGAATGCAGTGAAAACAGTACTTCAAGAAAAAATTTATGATCTTGAATGTTTACATCATAAAATTTAAAAGGCTAAAAATTAAGGAGCTAAGCACTCCACTTGGAAATAACCCTAAGAAAGCAAAAGGAAGGAAACGATAAAGATAAGAATAGAAATTAATGAGATAGAAAACAAAAATGCAATAGGATCAACAAACCAAATACTAGTAATTTGAAAAAACTTATTAAATTGACAAATCTCAGCAAGATCAAGAAAAAAGAAGGAGCACAAGTATGCACCAGTGAGACTGGAAGTGTGAAAAAAGCTACAGACATGGCGGGACTTACACAAGGAGTACCGACAACTGTATGTATCTGGAATGTTGGGCGGGATGGACCAGAAAAAGACAGAAAATACCAAAAGTGACTCAGGAAGATGCGGACAACTAAATAATCCTATAATTATTAAAGGAAAAAGAATCATCACTAGACACTCCCTCCCCTAGAACATCAGGCCAGGAAGCCTTGCAGAAAGTCAGCCAACATTTGAGGAGAAGATAGTTCAACTATTACTCAAAGTTGCAGAAAGAGGAAAAGCTCCTCAACTTGTTTATGATGAAGCCAGAAAAGGAGGTGATGAGAAAGAACAGTCCGGCGTCAGACATGCTCCTCGAGAGCCATCCAAACATCCCAAATAAGAACTTCAAACCAAAGCCAGCAATGTTGGAAAAGGGTTACATGCTCGGCCAAGACGGGTTCAACCCAGAAGCACAAGGTTGGTCCCAAATGAAAAATGCCCACCGCCACGTTGACACATTAAAGGGAACAAGCCTCCATGGTTATCTCCGTAGCTGCGGAGATTGGTGGCGGGAGGGCTTCCTCGGCCAGCCTGGCTCTGCAGTGGCCGCCCCGCTTCAGCCCACGGCAACGAGGTGAGGACAGCACCCCCACCACTCCTGGGCAACACCGTCTTGGAGGTCTGAGTGAACGCGACAGGAAGAGGGGAAAACCAGACACTGGGAGGTTTGGAAAGGAAGGAAGAAAAGCGTCGCTGTTGGTGGGTGGTGCGTCCCCAAGGAGAGCCCCAAGGAGCTGACAGCCGTTGGGCAGGACTGAGGACACTTCCGTCAGGTTTCTGGGTGTGAGGCCAACTCTTAGGCCAAGTTCCTGGGTGAGCTCTGACCAACGAGGCACAGGGGCCTGAAGCACACAGGAGAAGAGGCAGACAAACAGTCACGGGCAGAAGACTGGATAGTATACACAGGCCGCCTCCTCCCACCCGATTCACGGTCAGCGCAGCTCCGAGCGAAGCCCCACTGACCGGCTGCTTCTACAGGACTGGCCGAAGCCTCGCCCCTCTGGATGCCAAGATGAAGAATAAAGCCAGAGGCACTAAGAGAGGGGAGACGTGTGTTGAGGGTCCCCAAACCACCCCCAGTTTCACTGACTCCCCAGAAGGACTCCGCATGGAGTCATGCTCACGGCAAAGGCTCATCACGGGGAAAGGATACGGAACAAAATCAGTGCGTGGAAAAGGCATGTGGACAAGAGGCGGGGGCACGAGGGGCCCCCATGGGAGCTGTGCTGCTGTCCTGCTCCTCCCTTTGCAAACTCACGCGGCAGGGAGCGCCATGCCTCCGGGAAAGCCGCGGACACCGGGCACCGGGGGCCCACACTGGGGCTGGGCACACAGGCACCCCCTGGCACGCACCGGGACTGCCGACTCCCAGACAGAAACCCTGCGCGCACGGTTCAGGCGCGTGAGCCCCCGTCAGCAGCCAGGGGCTGGCCTCGCAGGCAGGCCTGGCTAAGGACCGCGTCCGGCTTGCTCAGGAGCTTCCTCACAGAGCGAGGCACAGAACTGAAAGCACTGGCAGCTAGTGAACACCGGAGAAGATGCTCGACTCTGGTTAAAATACATGGCGTATGATTTCACACCGGCAGGCCCAGCGAGACGGACAGCTCGGCACCAGTGGCGAACGTGACCTGGCTGTCTTTCAGACACCCACGGCAGGAGAGCCTGGGTCTCGCTCTGTGGCTGCTCTTGGGGCAGATACAGAAGCTCTCCAGTCCCTTATGTGACCGTGAGCGGGAAATGTGGCGCCCACACCCATTCCTTCCTTCGCCACTTTGCCCAGCACCGTGAAAGCAGCCAGCTGACCCCACATCCTTGTTACTCAGACCAAAATGTCCGGAGGTAGCAGACGCACGTTCACCCAGAATCTCTCCTCCTACAGGTTCTCGACCACGGGCATCCCAGGGCAGGCCACAGACTACTGGTGACCCCTCTCCCACATGAGACAGTGCTTTTCTATCTCATCGGATTAGAGGTCCCAGACCCCATTCAGAGAGCTCATCCTGAAGACCGTCCTTGGGAAGCACTCTGGCCCCAGCGTTTTCAGCTAGGGTCGCCCGGGAGGCCTCACCCATCGGAGGTGTAAGTGAGGAACTGGCTAGGCGCATCTGAAGTCTGCTGGGCAGCCCGTCGGGGGCAGACCCTGAGCCGTGGGATGGCTACGGGCACGGACTTTCTCCGCGAGTTCTGGCTGCTGCCGAGGGACTGAGGGCTCGGGCTTGGTGGAGACCGGCAAGGCCCTCGCTAGCTTTTGTAAACTCATACTCTGCCCTCTGCGTAGCCACAGCCAGCCTCCTCCAGGCCACGCTTTTGAAATCAAACACTTGGTTCTAGCATCTTGCACCGTCCCACCACACTGAGAATTCCCTCCTCGCCTGACGAGGCCTCTCCCCCAGCCGACCCCGGTCCTCTCCTACTTGAGGCCCCGGGATGTGCCTCTATCACAGAGTGAGGAGGCCTCCTTCGTCCCGGGCAGACTGCCCGGCAAGCGATGGACACAACGCCACTGTGCTCTCTGAGCACCCGCCTCCCTGCGGGGAACACACCCCTTGCGTCCCTGGCCCTCAGCAGCAGAGCGTCCTTTCTTTTCAAGAACATGTCTGTCAGTGTATTAACATGCACGAGATGAAAGCTATAGAAGGCGGAACCTTCTTCTGTAAAACCTGCTTTTTTTTGGAGGCAGAGCTGTGCGCACGTGGCGGGGGCAGGGCAGAGGGAGAGAGAATCCTAAGCAGGTTCCACGCTCGGTGCCAAGCCAGACATGGGGCTGGACCTTCCAACCCTGAGATCACGACCTGAGGCAAAATCAAGTTAGACACATAACCGACCTGCTTTTGTACAAAACACACAATTCATTGACTCAGGAGTCTCGATGGGGAAACACACGATTTGGAAAGGTCCGTAGAGGAGGACACCAAACAGCCAAAGGGTTGCAGGAGCTCCCACTGCTGGACGTGCTCTCTCTGGAAGGTGCCCGAGGACCCTGCCCCGAGAGGACACGCCTGCTCCACCATCCAGAGTGTCTACACCAGCAAACGAGTGAAGCGGTGTGAAGCCTCCCACTCTGGAGACATGTACCAAAAATACAGAATTCCTTAAAAGCTTGGATCAAAAGGCCTACTAGAACCAAGTTAAAGGGACTTTGGAAACTATGGCTGACATCGGTCCATGACATGGGTCCATGAAACCAGAGGGAGGGTCCGGTCTGGCTCACCCCTCCACCGGTGTGCAGCACGGAGAATAAGCACCCACAAATGCCGCTTCCTGAGCCCCCAGGAACTGTGAGGTTCGTGTGTTTTTAGTCCCGTGTGGTTCGGCTTCACTTTCCAGACCCTGCTTCTGTCTCATACATTCAAGGCCTTCCACTCGCAGCCCTCCAAGGCCGGGCAGGCTTCTCTCGGGATGCCCCCAACCCCCCCGAGCCTTCTGCGTCTGCAGCCATCGGCTACGAGCCTAAACACAGCTCTGCGGTGGGCTGGTCCCGCTGGCTCCATGGGCTCCCTGCTCAGGGCTCATGCCAAAATCTGGGTGCGGGCAGCTTCGCTCTGGGGACGGCCAGGCTCACGAGGTGCTGGCAGGATCCAGCCCCCTGCTCGACGTGGGGTCTCAGGCAGCACCCACACACCGCTCCTTCCTGTGCTCTGGATCTGCTCCTGCGTTCTGTTTCTGCTCGACAGGCTCATGTGGTGACACTGGGCCCACCCGAGAGTCACTTAAAATAATCTCTGTATTTTAAGGTCACTTGATTAGTAAATTACATCTTTAAATCCCATTTGCCCTGCAATGTAACAAGTCACAGGTGCAACATGGGGGGGTAAGGAGCAGGGGAGCCAAACCCTGCCTCTCGTTTGCTGGGGACCCCATGCACTCCCCAGTGGGAAGGCACCTCCTCCCTGGCTCCTGAATCCCCTGACCCAAGAGGCCTGGTCTGGAGTCCCCGAGAAGCCAGGCTGGCCACCTTGGTCTCAGCCCCCCACAGGCTAAAAACAGCCTTGGTTGGGAAGCAGGTGTTTTGTACAGGGACAGTGGCCAGGGCCAACCTTGGCACAACCACCTCCTCCCCGGACGCCAAGACCCGGCCTCCGGGAGAGGCGGCCCGCGAGGGGCCAGAGATGGGGGAGAGAGCCAACATCCTGTCATGGATGCCAGGGGCCGGCACAGGAGGCCCTTCCCTCCCAGCTCCGGCCCTCCCTCCTGCAGCCTCAGCACCCGGGGAGATGGGGGCGGGGTGGGGGGACAGCACAGGGCAGGTCCCCGTGATTCTTCTGGCTTCAGCTTCCTCCGTAGTGGGGAGTGGCACGAAGAATACCACCCACGTGTGCTGGAGGGTCGGGGAGCCTGGGCCAGACAAACCCCACTGCCCTGCAGTCTCGGGCCGAGGCCAGCCATCTGGTGAGCCAGGGGACCCTTTCTCAGAAGAATGTCTGCAAATTCATAAAAGAAACCACATATTAACAAAAATGACATGGCAGCCAGTCTGTCCCACTCACAGCAGTGTCCCTGGAAGCCGCCCAGGTGACCGTCCTTCGCGGTGGGGGGCGGGGGGACACTGCTCTGGTCCACCTGCAAACAGAACGCTATCGGGTCTTAAAAAGGAGTGGAGCACGAACACAGACTCCAACGACCGTGAACCCAGAAAACGGCGCTGAGTGAAGGAGGCCAGCCATCCAGAACAGAGCCCCCACAACGGCCGGGGGCCAGGCGGGGGGACAACAGCGATGGAAACGTCACACGACGTGGGAGCGCACGAGAAGCCCGTGAATGGTGCGCCTGGATGGGTGAGCTGTGTGTGGTTCCGCCTGCACACGCCTGTGGAGGAGCTTTCCATCCACGTTCAAACCCCTGCATTCTGAGACCCCCCCCCTCAGATTCTCTCCGTGGCCCCCGGCGGCTGGTGTCCCCACAGGCAGGGCCCTGCCGCGGGCGTGAGCGGGGCCTCCTTCCATGCAGTGTCTCCACAGGACAAGGGGGTGAGGGTGGGGGCAGGCCCACCCCCAAAGGAGCCGAGAGGGTTCCCGCCCACAGACCCCCGGGCAGGGCAGCCATAAACATCTCTGTCCTTGGACCCAGGGAGACAGAAGGGCCCCGAGCCCCGGGAGGGTGGGCACAAAGCCCCACCACGCTCTCCTCAACGGCCCTGCGGTGTCCTTGCCGGCGCCCAGCCCCTGCCGCCTGTGGTTGCACAGCACGCGGAAGGCCCTGGCCGGGACCTCGGGGGGCGTCCTCCTTCTCCACCACAGGTACCTGCAACCCGGCTTGGCTCAGCAGCCCGCGGCCCCCTCGCCCCCACCCTGGTCTTGATGGGGATTGAGAGCCCTGAGGGCCAAACTTTAAAGAGAATCAGGAGCAGTATGTGGTCAGTGTAGAAAACAACAGAAAAACAGACCAACAAGATGATACCCCACGGCTCACACTGGGCCCCAGCAGGGCCTCCACATGTCTCCTTGGCGTGGGGGTGGGGGTGGGCTCAGGCTCATGGTTCATGCCAGGCACTGCCCTGGACCTCGGTGGGAGCACGTCAGGCCTGCTGGCAGGAGAGGGCTGGGGACTTCTCCTCCTCAGGACTCTAACCTGTGGCCCTGCTTCCTTCTCTCCAGGGGGAGGGACCCGGGCCCTCTTGGAAGCTGCTGGCCTCCCCCAGCCCAGGCCTCCTCCCCTGTAAGGTCCTCGTTTTAAGGACAGTGATCCTCCTCCCTGGGAAGTCAGGTGCAGGGACCCTGAGGGGCTTCGCTCACCTGCCAAGCCAAGACTGAGGCCTCCTGCAGGCTGGGCGGCTCCTGGGCCCCTGGTCTCTCGCTGCACCCTGGCCTCAGGCTCCTGGCCAGGTCCTCAGACGGGTAGAAGCTGGAGGCTCTCTGCACAGAGCCTGGTACACCTCCAGCAGGCGGTAGGTGTCGGCAGCTGGGGGGGCATGGGTCAGCCTCAGCCTCCAGGGTGGGGGGCACGGGGGCGAGGGGGTGCAAACCTGCATAAACCGGCTGCCCCCGCTCAGTGGCCGCCGGTCCCAGTTAGAGAGCTGCTGTGCCTTGTCCAGGGCCTTGCCCAGCACCTGCTGCACCGGGAGGCTGAGGCCCCGCAGCCCCTGGCCTCACCCCTGCCTAGAGCTGGCTTGTCCAACACCCGCATCTGCCAAGACAGAGCCCCTCGGGGGTGAGGGGCCTGCCCTGGGGAAGGCACCTGCGCACAGAAGGAAGGGCACAGATGGTCTAGGCAGGCAGGTGCAGGGGGACTCAGGGCCATGGTGGCCTGCCCACGGGGGTCAGCTCTGGGGCTAACCTCTCAGCCCCCAAAGGTGTGGCTGAGAACTCAGAGGGGCCCAAAGCAGGGCTGGTTCTGGGGAAAGTGTGGGGACACGTGGTGACACCCCCTCCCTGGGGGGCCCTGGTGACCTGAGTAACCCAAAGGTGCTCCAAGGCCATGAGCACATCCTGACCCATAGACACCAGCCAGCCTGTGGTGAAGGCCCCCGGCTGGCAGGGGGCATCACTGTGCAGGCGGCTCAGCAGACAAGGGAGCGGCCCCGGCCCCGTCCCCGTCCCCTCGAGCTGACCTGCCTGTGCACCTGCAGCTGGTCTAGACCGCCCCGCAGCTGCTTCTCCACGTGAGCCAGGGTGGGGCAGGAAGCCCCCAGGCTCCGACGGTCCCGCCATCCCATAACCTGCAGGGAGGGCCATCAGCGTGACAGGCACCTGAGGCAGGGGCCCTGGCCTCGCCCCAGCACCCTCCCCCGGGTGGGCAGGGGCTGTGCTCACCCAACTTAGTGACGGAGGGGTCCGAGAGCAGCTGGGACACCTGCCCTCCTGGTGGCCGTGAGAGCACAGGCAGGTCCAGCAGGAACACACGGCCCTCCGCTGCCAGCTGCATGATGGATGCCCGGGGCCGGCCCCCTGTGCCAAATGAGGGTCGCCACTCCAGGTCCACACCGACCACCTGGCCAGGCTGTAGAGAGCTGGGATGAGCAGGGGAGGCCCATCCAGGGGCTGCAGGCCTGTGGCCGAGGGCATGGCCTGCCTGACCCCCCAGAGGGTGAAGCCGAGGGCAGGCAGTTTCTGTTGGGGGGCCTGACTGGTCCTGTGGGCTCCTACGGGGCCGGGGCTGCGCCTGGCCCCTGCCTGCCCCCTGCCTGCCCCTCGTTCCACACAGAAGGGCTCAAGGGACTCCTTCTGGCCTCCTCGGGCCCGGAGCCCAGCCACAGCACAAGTGTGGTGTTGCCGCAGGCGGGGGCCGGTGCCAAATGTCTGTGGGCAGGTGCCCGATGCTTGCACTTTAGGCCTGGAGTCTTCAAAATGGGCTGGTATAGTTGCCCTGCTCCGCGGGGGTATCTGGGGCACGGTGGGATGGAGAGCCAAGCCCGCTGGGTCCTGGTATGGACAGAGCCCCTGGAGCCAGCCACCCACCTGCAGGAGCTCCTCCTCGGGCCAGGTGCCAGGAGGCCGGGAAGAGGATGTCCTCCCCGGCGATGGGCATCTGGTAGTAATCATCCCTCCGGTCTTGGAAAGGCACCTCAGCCGTCCTAGGATGGAGCTGTGGCACCCCCACACCCTGCGTCCCTGGTGCCCTCCCCCAGCCCAGCACTTTCCGGCCTGGCCGGGCCCCGCGCAGACCTCCGAGAGGCAGGGGAGCTCTGAGGGCGCTTGGTGGGCTGGCGGCTGCAGGGGCCTTGCTGCTCGCTCCCCCTTGCCCGAACTGCTGACATACGCGACTCATGGGGCCGCTTGCCAAGGGACGGGGGCCCGAGCGCCTGTCCCCCTCGCCAGCCTCCCGAGCCTGGGCGCCGCCGCTCCTGGAGTTTGAGCTGGCGGAGCTGTGCGTGGCTGGCAGCCGCTCCTTGGGCAGCGAGAGGTCCAGGGCGCCTCGTTGTCGCGAGAGGCCAGCAGCTGCTGCAGCCCCGCCTGCAGCCACTCGCGCTGGCCCACAGGCCCTGCGGGGCACACGGGATGGGCTGTGCGGCCCGGCTCTGCCCCGAGGGGGTGCGGACAGTCCCCCGGGCCCGCAACTCGCCCCAGACCTCGCAAGCCCCAGAACGGGAGGCTGTTCCCTGAAGGAAGGCCACAGATGCTCCCACGACTGAGGCTCTGTGCCGACTGCGCTGTCGAGCGAGGGCCCCCCACGTGGTCCGGTTGGAGGGCCGCTGTCCTGTGTCCACAGCCCAGCCCAGCGGCCCTGCCCCCCAGACCCGAGACCAGCCCTGTCCTTCTAGAACATTGCCTGACCCTGCTCCTTCGCCACCCTTGTGTGCTGGGGCCTGCTCCTGACCCTCGGGCTGCCCCTCAGGTCTCCTCGCCCCTGCCTTCGCGGCCGGCCAACATTCTCAGGGGAAGGTGGGGCCATGGGACACTCTTGAACCCACAGTCCAGAGAGTGGACACAGGCGAGCAGCCCTCGGAGCGGCAATGAATGTGGGGGGCCTCACGAGGCTGTCTCCCACACCAGGGCCCAGCACAGGAGTGGGGGGACCCACGGGGCCCACAGGTGTCCCGCCCGTCAGCTCAGCCTCAGGACACCCACAGCAAGGCCCAGCCACCTGCACCACCAGGGTCCCACAGGAGGGTTTCGGTCCTGGCTGAGTCCTTGAGTCCATGAGGTCGTAGCCTGCTGTAACTCGGGTGGGCTGGGAGTCTGAGCCTCTTGCCCTCCTGATCTCTGGCCCCCGAGGCCTCTGTGTGCTCTGAGGAGCCCCTGCTGGCTGACAGGCAGGGCCCCCTCCCAGACGACTCTGTCCCCCCAGTAGCCTCAGGCCATCCGCTTCCCGCAGGCCGCGGGTTCCCACGTGGACGACAATATGTGGAAGCCCCTCCACATTCTTCAGGATGTCCGCTGCCCTTCCGGCTGCCTCGGCCTTGGCACCCAGGGGGGACCAGCCTTCCGGGCCTTCCCTGGGGGTCCACGTTCCTCTCCGGTGACTCACCACCCACCCCACACACCCATCACTCCAGGGGTGGCTCGGCGCTGCCCCCCGCTGGATGCCACTCAAGACACCAGAAGCCAGACTATTCATCAGGGAGGGAAGGGCCCCCCACTCCACGAACTGGCCCACAGCTCCATGCCCGTTGCACCTGGGACCCCACACACCCCCACCTTCTTCCCAGGCTGCTTCACCCAGGGCTGGGGACAGCTCTGTGCCCATGATGAGCCACACCTCCAGCTCAGGCCTGAGGGACAGAAGCTACTAGATGGTCCTGTCCAGGCTGCCGTCCTGATGGGCTCTGCAGCCCCCAGGCCCAGGAGTGGCCTTGCAGTTCAACCCCCTCTGTGCCCCTGCATCACCCCAAGGGGCAGCTGCCTCCTTCTAGGGGCCTGGGCTCACCCCCCACCTGGCCTCAGGGGGCACAGAGCCATGGGCGAGGACCGTGCTCAGAGATGGTCTAGAATATTCCCTTGGTGAACACTGTGGAACCTCCAGCACACGCCCCTTCTCCATCGCCTGGGGGCTCTGTACACTAAGGGCTGAAGGAGGGTCCAGGCCCCCCAGCCGCTCTGGCCCTGCCTCACCCGGGTGGGGCCCTCACACAAAGCCTACCCTCAGCATCTGCCTCTTGTACCTTCTGAGCGGGGTGGCAGACCTGAGGCTCTGTGGCTGGTTCCTCGTCAAGGTGTGGCATTTATGCCGGGAGAAGCCCTTTCTCTGCACCATCTGCTCCCCAACCTGCCAGGGACACCAGGGGAACCGACCCAGCTCGTGGGCCAACGTGAAAGCTGTCTGGGCCACGGCACGCACCCGTGAGCTACGCACCACGTGCCCAGTCCATATGTGTGCACGCACTCTCCCAGGGCCACTCGTCCCCCTAGGTCCTCAGCCAGGTCCCCAGGGAACACCACAGCATGCAGGGCCCTGCAGACTCACCTGCATGTGGCCAGTCCGGTTCTCCCGAGACAGGCTTCTCTGCAAGAGCGAGCACCAAGGGACCTTTTCTAGCGACAGCTCTAGAAGCTGGAGAGACAGCCTCACCCGGAGCACCCCTCCCGCCACGGCCCGGGCTCGGGGCCCTAAGGGCACACGCACCTCCACACCACGAACCACTTACAGCACAGACGGTGCAGGGCGGCCAGGCGCTGCTGAGTGACAGCGCAGGGACACAGCGCGGCTGAAAGACAGCAGCGCCCGGGGGGGGCAGGGGCTTCACCCCACTCTCTCCCCAGCCTCGAGCCTCTCTTGGGTCTGCCAGAGCCCTCCCTCTGCACCGGGACAAGGGACACCAGCCCCGTCTCCCCGGGCTCCATTCCACATTCTCCAGGGCGGGACCCTCCGGACGGTGCGTTTGCTTCCTGTCCGTCTCCCACTGGAATGCGAATCCTTCAGGAAGAGGCCATCTTGCTCACATGTTGACAGACTGATGCTTACTCGTCGGCCTCGCTCCCGGGAAGGGCACCCACCCGCCCACCCGTCCACCTGTCCAGCCATCTGGTTGCTGCCCCTCCCTCCCAGGGCCAGCTGTCCTTGAAGCCTGGCGGTGCGGCTGGGACAGTGAGGGGTCCGGTCTTCTAAGGACCTGGCCAGGACCCTGCGCTCTCCACACGCGCTCGTTGCAGGGCCGCTGTCCACCCACAGCGGAGGTCAGTGCTGCCCAGAGGTTGGCCAGAGACTCTCCCTCCTCCTTCCTGCCCGGGACCTGAGGGCTCCGGACCCCAGGAGGCCGCTCAGGAATCTGGGACAACTCTGCAGGCGAGGGGGACAAAGCCTGAGGAAGGGAGGGACGACCCGGCGAGCCACGCGGGGAAGAAGGAGCTCAGAGTGGCCAGCGTGTTCTTGGAGCACCGTTCCCACGCAGAGCTGCAGACAGAAACCTGCTTCTTGGCCGTTTCTACACTTTGAAGCATCACTTTGCCAGTGGGATACTTTGTCCAAAAGCCTCACCCCCACAGGTGGAGCTCAGCCCTGGTCAGACCCGAGCGCAAATCCTTAAAGGAAAAGGCCCGGGTAGAGCAGGCCCGACCTCCTGACACACACTGAACATCTGGAAATGCCACACAACCCAGTGTCCTGCAGACTCATCTGTGCTACGAGGCCTTGGGGGGCTCCACCTGGGACCCAGGCCTGGGGGGGCTTGTGGGGAGCTCAGGGTGGACAGGCAAGCAGAGCTCCCCGGCCCTCCTTCTGGGCCTAATGTCAGTCCGTGGAGGCCCACAGCGGGGATGGTGGATGCACAGCGAGGACTGCAGACGGGCAAAGGGACAGTGCTGTGACCCTGAGGCCTCCTGGCCAAGACACACCCCTGGAGCCAGCTGGGGAGGCTGCAGGTGGGGCCTGGCCGCACATGGCCATGCAGAACCGGAGACCCAGCTGGGTGGCTATCCTCCCCACTCCCAAACGGGGCCGATGAGCTAGGCACCCCTAGAAAACACCTGCCCCTCCCCTCCTGTCCCACAGCCCGTCAGACTCCACATGCTGTCTGGGGGACGACCCCATTGTTCACGGGGTGTCTGGACACCAGATCTGCTCCTGCCTCACACTCAGCCGAGACCTGTGGGGTGGGGTGGACCCTCACGGGGGACACACCCTGAACTGGGGGTGCTGGGCTAAGGCTGGCCCAACACCCCCCAAAGACTCTTCTGGCCCCAAGCCCTGGGCCCACCACGGCCATGACCTGGGGGTCAACAAACGGCCCGGCAGCGCTGCTGGAAGGAAAGACGGCCCCACCCAGAGCCCGCATCCTCAGACCTCCACACAGCCTGCCCCTCACGGTCCGGAGTCCTGGGTGGGGAGAGCCTCACAGCGGCCGCCATGGACTCGGCGCATGATTCTGTGCTGAGAGCCCCCGGGAGCCTCACCTGCAGGCAGCTGAACTGTGTGCCCGCCCCACGTTCCCACCGGGGGATGCCAGCAGGGCTCCCCACCCAGCACCCACGGACGACGGCGTGCAGGTGACCTCAGAGGCCCTGTGCCAACGATGCGGGTCCCCATGGGGGGCCACTCCTTAGTGTCAACCCAGTGCTCTAGTTCTCCAAATGCAGGGGCAGGTGACCCACCTTACACGCCCCTGTCCCTCAGACCCTGGCACCCCAGAGGTCTTTGCTGCTGGGACCCTCCTTGGAGCTTCTGCCCCTAACACTCCACTCTTGGTTTTACTCTGCAGCTGGTGGAGGCTCCTTCCTATAGCCGCTTCCCCGGGGCCTCAGGGGTCCCACCAGTCGGCCGGTCCTCTTCGGCCAGGCTCAGGGGCTTCAGGTGGAGCCCCAGCCAACCACCAGCACAGCCAGCAGCTCCTTGCTCCTCGCTGACCCTGACCTGCCCCGACACCGGCCTGCAGGCGTCCACATACCTTCTTGCTTTTCCCATCTATGCTCCTAGTGCCGCCCGAGGGGCTGTTTAAAGTCATGAATCAAAGCCTCTTGGTGATGTGCTTCTGTCCTTGCAAAAGCCCCAAATATTGCCCTCTTTTCTGGAGGCAGGCACCTTCATCCAAGGGCCAGAGAATCTGCGTAATTTCTCAAGGGTGCCAGACACAAACATGACGACAATGAAGCCTCCGAGTGACACAGAGAAACAGATGCTGACCAGAGACGGTGCGGAAATGTGGATACAGACCATAAAACAACCGTGGGCAAGACATTCAAAGAAAGAGAAGACAAAATCAGAAATACGTTCAAGCATCAAGAAGCCGCCCAAAGTGAGACAGCAGATCTGAAAAAGACCGCATTACAACTTCTGGAGCTGAAGATACAACAATCAAAGAGCATAAATGATGGATGTGTTTTGTAGTTTGTTGGACACAGACGAGGAGAGGCTTAGTGAAGCGGGAAAGAGCAGAAGTCACACAACGAACACACAACGAAGGGGACACTGGAGGCGGGGGGAGAAGATCAACACACAGTCAGGGGCCCAGAGAACAGCGGAAGAAAGCAGGAGATGTGATGTGTGAGATCATGACTTAGAATTTTCCAGAACCGACTGAAGACAGCAATCCAGATTCAAAAAGCCCAACACATACCAAGGAAGATAAATACAAAGAAATCTATAACTAATCTCCTCACAGTGAGACCACAGAACATCAAAGACAAAGAGATTATCCTAAAAAATAGCCAAAGGAAAAAAAAGATTGCTTTCAGAGACAAGAAGGGAGATTTCTTCATAATACGTTTCAACCCAAAGGACTGACATTATACAAGGCATGATCTCCGATCACGATGAGATTGAGCCCACACCAGAAAAATAACTAAAAATGGCAAACAGCTTGGAAATTAAGAAATACATTTCTAATTAACCCATGGGTAGAGAAAAACTTATAATAGAAATTAGAAAATACCTTGAGCTGCACAATAATAGAAATAATATATATTGAAACTTGGGGAATATTTTAAGAAGAAAGAAGGCTTAAAATTTAGTTCGGTGGGCTGGGGAGGGCAAACAACAGAGAGGACCAAAAAGCTAAAAGCAGGTAACAAAAGCAAAAATCAACAAGTGGCATTCCTTCAAACTACAAATTAGTTTCTGCACAACAAAGAAACAATCAACAAAATGAAAAGGTGACCTATGGAGTGGGAGAAAACATTTGCAAACCACATATCTGATAAAGGGTGAATATTCAAAATATGTAAGGAACTCATATAACTCAATAGCAAAAAGAATCCCAAATAACCTAATTTAAAAATGGGCAGAGGAACTGAAAAGACATTTTCCAAAGAAGACATCCAAATGGCCAGCAGGTATCTGAAATGGTCCAAGACATCACTAATGATCAGGGAGATGCAAATCAGAATGGCTATCATTCGACAAAAGGCAGGAACTGAGAGGAGAGGGGAGGGGGGAGTGGGCAGGGGAAGGGGGAGGGGAGGAGCACCGCCCCGGCCCCTACTCCCAGGGGTCACTGCAGGTGGGCAGAGGGGCTTGCAGACCTCAGTCCGCTGCTCAGTGCCCAGGGTCCGTGGTGGTGGGCAGGTGACGCAGGAAGGGGGTCGGGAGATCCTGGCCACCCCGGGGCACCCAGGGTGTGGGGGCCCCGCTCACCTGGTCCAGGCCCTGCTGCTCCAGCAGGCTCAGGACCTGCCGACTTAGCACTCTGGGACTCAGCCTCTCCAGCCTCAAGGAGGTCACCTGTGGGTGCTGTCTGCAGGGAGAGAGACACGTCTTTTTAACTTAATACACGTAAGACTTATTTTCGTCAAAGTCACACGCACAGAGTTGAAAACTCAGGTAATTCTACGAGGCCTGTGGAAAGAGCAGCACGTCACCGTGTCCCAGCACGCTCCAGACCCTCACACATCAATTCTGTCACGGCCAGTATTGGCCTCTGTGTTTCCAAGGAACATACTTGTGCGTGACCTCTTGGTTGTTCAGTCTTAGGTGTCTGGTACGGACATCTCGCCGTGGACGGCGCGCCGCGTTCCGACCTAAGTCAGGACACACCGTGTTCACGCTCTCACGACCAGGCCAGTGCAGACCACACCCCTTCTCTTCAGGGTTAGTGCTTCTCTGGTTTCATCGCCTCCTTAGTTTCCAGACTGAGGACCCGACCAGCCTCGCCCTGAGCCAGTGAGGAGGTGAGTGGGCCTCCTCGCGGCCCCCCGGCTGCCGGCTGCTCACAGCACACCTGCAGAAGTAGGTTTGTGCTCTGCCTCATGCTGGCTTGAGGGTTCGGCTGAGCTGAGGCTTTGGGGTTGAAGTAGCTGTCCCTCAGCCCGGGGCAGGCGATGCTCCCAGAATCCCGTCTGATCCCCGTGCTGCCCTGGGTCTGCAGCGTGGGTCTCATGCACTCTGGCCGCCCGCAGACCTGCTACACCCGACCCAGCCACCTCGGGAATGAGCTCTGTCTGCTCTTCTTTCTGGGGTTCCCATTGTTCAGATGTTGGGCCTTCCTGACAGGACCTCCAATTTTTCTTTTAATCGTTTCTCTCTGGTTTTCATTGTTTATCTGTTTTGTACTTTTTGGAAGACATCTTCAAATTTATCCTCCAAACCTCTACTGAGCTTTTCACTTTGCCATCATATTTTTATTGACAAGAGTCCTGTTCTGTGTTCTGAAAGCTTCCCTGACTGTGGCTCAGAGCCTCAGCCAGTCCTCAGCTGAGCCCGGACACCACGGCCCAGGGTCCCCAGGGTCTGGCTGACCGCCAAGGAGCCTGGGCCTCGGCTCCTGGGCCCTCCTCGGGCTCTGTGCTGGGCCCCACATGCTCCTGGTGGCCGCGGGCTCAGCTTCCCAGGCTGCTGCCTGACCCAGAGCCCCTCCCGTCACTGCCTCTCTCCCATTCTCTTCAAATGTCTTCTCCATTTTAAAGCAGAGACAATAGTGGGTCTGCCAGAGGCACTTTTTAGAACCCAGTGTTTATCGAGGTGTCACTGACAGGCGGCGAGGAGTGGGGATCGTGGGTGCACTTGCACTTGGTGGACCCGCCACCCACAGCTCAACACGGATGCGCAGCCCTCGAGCTGCCCCTGCCCCCTTGGCCACGCTTCGGACCAGCAGAGACCACGTGCCAGGTTTTGAACGTCCTACCGTTGGAATCATGGCGTCCGGACGCTTGGGTCTGGGCCATCTCACGCAGCGCGGGCTCTGGGACATTCCTCCACGTTATGTGTGTAACGTGTGTGGTCCAGCTGTGGCTGTGGACCGGCCTCTGGGTCCGTCCAGTGCTTGGGGACTAGGAATAAAGCTGCTGTGAACACACCAGTCTCTTCACAGACCACGCACCCATGTGTCCTGGGTTTGCTCCAACGGTGGACTGGCTGAGGCAGTCCTAGCCCATGTTTTGCTGGGGCCAGCAGCGCCGAACAGCTTCCTCGAGTGGCCGGGCCGCGTTAGCTGTCCCCAGCTGGGCACGGGGGTTCCTCCCTCGCTAACATCTGGTACGCCAGACTTTTCCGTGTTAGCCGTTATGAAGGAAGCCACTGCGTCTTTTGCAAATATTTTCTCCCACTCTAACCTGGTCTTCTCGATTTTTTTTAAAGATTTGTTTATTTACTTATTTGTCAGAGAGAGAGAGAGAGAGAGTGAGCGCACAAGCAGGGGGAGCAGCAGACAGAAGGAGAGCCGACTCCCCGCTGAGCAGGGAGCCCGATGCAGGGCTGGATCTCAGGACCCCGAGATCACGACCGACTGAGCCACCCAGGCGCCCCTTGTCTTCTCGTTTTTAAAAATACTTTAAGTAATCTCCACACCCAACATGGGGCTCGAACCCAAGACCCCAAGATCAATGGCCTCACGCTACTGACTGAGCCAGTCAGGTGTTGCTCTATGTCCCTCTCCAAATACACAGTAAGGGTGATGACAGCCAACGCTAGGTGTGCTGGGCTGGGCGCCCCGCGCGCTCTGTCTGCTTCGTAGCATGTTAAATCACACAACCCTTTGAGACAGGCAAAATTAGCCCCATGTGAGGGCTGAGGAAATAAACCCAGGAAGTGCAAGCGACTTGCTCATAGCTCCAGGGCAGGTGGATCCAGGGAGGTCGGCCCCAGAGCCCAGGGTCTGCATCTCAGGGGGGTGGTCTCAGGCCCCCAGTGCCTGTGGATGGACGGGAGGCTCGAGGAGCCTCCACAGACAGCCACGTGCTGCTTCACCCTGTGGCCGGCAGATGCCACCCCCACGCCCCACCTCGGGCCACACCCTCGCGTCACGTGTGTGTGCAGCTTAAGTGACCCCACATGGGCTCCATGGGTGTCACAGATGAGATTTGAGGCGAAGAGATGAGTGAACGGACAGGCGCTGTGACTTCCAGCATGTAGTAAACTGTTCACGCAACCTGGAGAATTATTTTTGTCCGTTTAAGAGACTTAACTGTGTCTCGTCTGGTTCCTGCCAGGTGCAGCCTCTGGGCTCCAGAAGCAGGTCCCTCTCTGGCTGACCGAGCCGCGGCGTGTGCGGGCCACGCACGTGGCTTTCCCAAGCGCCTGCCGCCCCCTGCCCCACCCTGGGCCCCCATGGGGCTTACCTGGCCACGACTCTGACGTCAGAGCTGGGCTGGCACCAGGAGTCCAGGAGGGCCAGCAGCCTCCTCTGGAGGTCCGGGAAGCCGGCTACATGATGCTCCACGAGGGTCACCTTGTCCTGGAGGAGCAGTGGGGTGCTCCCATCTACGGGGAGCACATCCTCAGGTCACAGCCTTGCAGGCGCCTGGCACCTCCACGCCCGGCCAAGACCCCAGACTCACCCCCAACCCAGAGGAGGCGTGGCCAGAGCATCCGGACTAAGAGGACCCAAGGCCCCTCCATGTGACCTGGCTCCCTCAGGGAGTGCAGAGGCCCAGCCAAGTGTCTGACTACATCCGTGAAACACCCCAGATTGGCTCCTAGGGCCCGGTGCACTCATCCCAGCCCATGCCCTGTGCTTGCACACTTACACACACGCACACAAACACATGTAGGCCCCACTGCTCCCTGGGCCTGGTCCCGGGGCTCTACAAAGGACTGGAGGCCCCCAGAGGCAAGGGGCATCCTGGGGAAGATCAGCTGTCCCCTTGTCTTCACTGAGCTGCGGGGAGGCAGGAGGGAGACCAAGCATGGGCAGCAGCCCCGATGGCCCAAGTGCCTCCTCACTGGCGCAGGGGGCATGCCCATGCACGGTGCCCACAAGAGCCCTGAGCTGCCCACACCCGCCCGGAAGCTCGGAGGAGGCCCCTGGCCGTGGCTCTGGGCCTTGGGACACTCAGGCCCTTTCCACCGCAAGAGTTCAGGCCTCAACAAAGCCCCCTGCCAGTGGTCCCAACGGTAGACCCCTCCTCACCTCCTGTCCTCTCCATGTGACCACATTGGGTCAGGCTGCCTAGAGCCCAGACTGAACAGGGACCCATCTGCCAGGTTGGGACCTCAGGAGGTGGACCTCACGGGGAGCCCCATTCCTCAGAGACCCTCTGGCCACTGCCTTCCGAGCATGTTGCACCTAAGTCCAGAGACTGCCCTCCTGGGCCCCACCCCCTCGGGCTCTCCTTGCAGGGTCGGGTGCTCACACGTGACCCCTGCCCTCCAGCACCCCCAGCCCCACTCAGTGAGGAGCAAAGCCAGGGCTCAGTGGTAGGAGAACCCCCCTCCCCAAATCATGTTTCTAGAGACCCAGGCTTTATCCAAGTCAGAACCTGAATGATTTTCGTGAAAAGATACTTACCTTTCCTTTTTTTTTTTTTAAGATTTTATTTATTTATTTGACAGAGAGAGACGGCGAGAGAGGGAACACAAGCAGGGGGAGTGGGAGAGGGAAAGGCAGACTCCCCGCTGAGCAGGGAGCCTGATGCAGGGCTCGATCCCAGGACCCTGGGACCATGACCTGAGCCGAAGCAGACGCTTGACGACCGAGCCCCCCAGGCGCCCGACACTTACCTTTTCAACATCAAGTTCGAGCTGCAGCTTCTGCTTCAAGCCCAGCATAACGGCCTGCTGATCACAAATGCAGCAGGTTACACCGGGCCTGGTGGGGAGCAGGCAGCCCATGGGGGGCGCTCCCACCCTTCTACACCTCCCAGTCACTGAGGGCACAGGTCCAACGGCCTGGAACCCAAAGCCTCCGGGCAGACAAGCCAGGCTCCACAGGAGGCGGGGCAGGGGGGCATGCCCTGGGCAGGTGGGTCCTGCCAGGCTGGGGTGTGGCCTGGATGGGGCATCAGGGTGGGCGCCGGGCCCAGGTGGCTCTGGTCAGGGGTTGCCCATGAGTGGACAGAGGACCAAGAGGGAGGGGCAGACAAGAGGCAGGAGCTCTGTCACCTACCCCCAGACACTGGCACACTGTGCTTTCCCCACACCTGCTCTCACCTGCCGCATACCGCCCAGAAGTGTGCCCTCCGCCTGCAAGTGCCGGGCATGGCCAGTCATGGTGCTCACAGCCAGGGGCCAGGGCTGTGCACCCTGGGGGCCTGAGGGACCGTGGCCCTGAGGCGCAGGGGCCTCTGAGCACTTTCCACAAGGCATACTCTGTGTGCACCCCAAAACGACTAACGAGTGCATAGCTGTCTGTCCAAAAGGGTGGGCTGGCCCCAGGGGGAGTGGTGGGGTCTGTGTTTTGGGGGATGCACAGCCCTGCCCCTTTGGTCCACAGAGAAAGAGGCTCTGAACCCAGCTGCGTCCTGGCGAGGCAGGGAGCGCAGCGGTCCCAGGAATGGGGAAGTGGGCACTGCCGAGAGCCCTGATCTCCCCC